CTTTAGCCAATTTAAAGGCCTGCTTCACCATAATGTAGAGCTCCTGTTAGATCTGGATTTGACCAAGTGAAAGGGTTTTGGACATTACACAGGGTGAAGAGTTGGTCAAATCCAAAGGAAGAATGATAAAAACCAAAACCACAAATAGCGATTTCACTATTTACATACTATTGAACACTCTAAGCATAAGCAGAGGTTAGAATGAAGTAGTAACAAGCTTTATCCTGCAGCTACCAAATTCTAAAACAAAAGCCCAAACCAGCTCCTTAGTTGAGCAGGGACCAAGCTGAAGTCTGCTCTCCATTGTCACAGGAGCAGGAAACTCATGTTCCTTTTAGGAAGTGAGCAAGACTCCATGAGAAGAGGAGTTCCATGAAAAAAACAAAACTCGGATCTCAAACCAAAGAAAAAAATCTGAGAAAGCAGGGACCTCAAGAGCAAGTAGGATCCAGTTCTCAGAAAGTCACATGATTGGTCAGAACCGAAGCTCTATAATTGGTACTGAACATGAAAAAAAAAGAACCACTGCAGGTCAAAGATTCTAAACTCCATTAAGAGGACCCCTTCATGGTTGGCAAAATGTTAACCAAATTGAGTGCCTGATTCAAGTTTCTGAATCAATTAAGGTTTATTGGACCAGAGCTTGAGGGCAAACTCTGGAAAAATACAAGTTGTAGAAACCTCTGTTGCTTGTTATGTCTTTGAGGAGGTTTTCAGGAGGTCTGACATTTATACACTATCTTAAAGGAGGGAAGACAGGTATGAAGAGACAAGTAGGGGGAAGAATATTGGATCTCATCTTGTCCTTATTCTATATAGAGAAAAAAAACATTATCAGTGTAAAGTCTAACAGACTTTAGTTTTAGGAGCTAGACTTAGATTGCGCACTTAAAGTTACAATTGATGAGATCTTGTTTTATGAGAGAAAATATAGCTTAAGATGAAGATGAAAATGAAGAGGAAAAACCTTGCTATACACTGGGGACCTTTATGTTTGCACCTCATATAATGCTCACAATGACCCTTTAATCAGTTACTATTATCCCTCTATCCCAAAACATCGATAAACTTGTCCCTTATCTCAGAGCCCATTAAAGGTGGAACCAGGACTCAGACTCACATTTCTAAATCTAAAACTCATGCTTCCAGCAAAAGAAACTGTCAACCGAGGGAACAGACAACCTAAGAAATGAGAGAAAATATTTAGAAACTACACATTGGACAAAGGTCTGATATCCAACATCTATACAAAACTTAAATAAATTTACAAGAAAATAAACCATTAAAAAGTGGGCAAAGGATATGGAGAGACACGTTTCAAAAGAAGTTATGCATGTGGCCTACAGCACATGAAAAAGCCCAATATGACTTATCATTAGAGAAATATAAATCGCAACCACAACAAGACACCATCTCACACCAGTCAGAATGGCTATTATCAAAAAATAAAAAGATAACATGCTGGCAAAGTTGCAGAGAAAAGGGAATGTTTATACACTGTTGGTGGCAGTATCAATTAGTTCAACCATTGTGGAAAGCAGTGTGACAATTCCTCAAAGAGCTAAAAACAGAACTACCATTTGACCCAGCAATCTCATTACAGGTTATATACCCAGGGGAATATAAATCACTCTACCATAAAGACACATGCACACAAATTTTCATTGCAGCACTATTTGCTACAGAAAAGACATGGAATCAACCTAAATGCCAGTCAATGGAACCTGGATTTTTAAAAACGTGATACATATACACCATGGAATACTATGCATCCATGAAAAAAAGAATGAGATCTTGTCTATTGCAGGAACATAAATGGAACTAGAGAATAATATACTTAGCAACTAATGCAGGAACCAGAAAATGAAATATTGCATGTATAAGTGGGCACTAAATAGAGAGAATACATGGACGCAACGGGAGCAGCACACACCAGGACCTACTTGAGGGTGGAGGGTTGGAGGCAAAGGAAGAGAAGAAAAAGTATTTATTGAGTATTAGACTTACTACCTAATTGATGATATAATCTGTACATCAAACCCCCGTGACATGGGTTTACCTACATATCAGACCGACACATGTACCCCTGAAACTAAAACAAACATTTTTTAAAAAACCACGATGAAATTCAAACATCAACAATTTTATCTCTAATCCTTCTCCAATCAAAATTTTAAGATTTGTTTTAAAAAGAAAATTTTTATTGAGCAGAAAAAATTAGCTTCTTTTTTCTAAATAATAATAAAACTCTTATTTCACTCTACACAATTATACCTACCAGAATTCAAAGAAAGGAAAGTTGGCTGCCTCTAACAGAAATAACCATACAGATATCAATGAAGAGACAGGGTCTGAAATGGGCCTTAGGACAAAAAGCAATTAAGGAGATTGAGTGTCTGAGTTGGATTGGCAGACCCTGAAACAGGGACAGATGAACAAATATACTCAGACACAGATATCCACCTAAAGAATGGGCTGGGCTGCAGAGCCACTCACCCATACCAAGAAAGTTCTGGAAAAGAGGTAGCAGCAGTGGCCCCAATCAGCCAGCTAATTTCGCATTTATTTAGTACAGATTAAATTACAAACATCTTGAGTAAACATCACTAGAGGGTGATTGACATTACCGACCTCCTGCAGATAATCAAAAGTTGTTCTTAAGACCACCTGAGTAAACTCCTCTACAATCCTATGTATCTACACCTTTAAAGAGAATTCAGCTGCCTTCAGCTAAATCTCTTACTGAAGCTATGCAACTTCCCTGGCCTTCCAAGAAGGTTTGTGACTGTTTCCTGTAACTATTTTTATAATTTTTCCTGTAAACTCATCTCCACCACCCTGACTGAACTCCCACATCTCCACCTTTTCTGTTTCTTGTATCTGTCTCAAACAACAACAACAACAACAAAAATATTTCTTCGCACTTGTTCCCAAAGCTCTATGTCTAGCTTACCTTCTTTCAGGAACCATGGGTTAAGTGATACAATTTGCATTAGGTCCCTTCGTTGATCCTGCAAAACCAAGGCTCCAGTGGCTTTAAGCAGCTGTTTGAATACTTTTAGATACTGCTCCTGTTGTGCTGATAACTGTTGTCCCGTGATAAAAGCCTACCCTGAACAATTCCCTCAAAATTGGAGATCCCAAGCGGGCATTTATGACCTACTGACTTACTGACTTATCGACTTACTGGCTTACCAACCTCACAGTCTTCTCCTTAGTTTTCAGAGGTTCTGTCACAATTATTTGTAGGTGTACCTCAGACCTGGGCACCAATATTCCAGGTCCTCAAATGGGGCATCAACTGTCTGGGTCCAACTGGCAGACCCTGATGCAGCAATGGATGAACAAATACACTCAGACACACATATCCAGTGAAAGAGCAGGCTACATGCTGGAATCACTCAGGGATACCTAGAAGGGTCCCAAAAAGAGTTAACAGCACAGGCACTTATCAGCCAGTGAAGTTTGCACTTATTTAGTACAGATTAAATGACAAAGGTCTTGAGTAAACACCACTTGAAGGTAATTAACATTGCAGACCTCCCCAAGAGTAGTCCCCCCAGCATAAGATTAAATGTTGGCTTTAGGACCACCTGAGTAAACAAGCTCTTTACATAAATTCCTCTACATTCCTGTGTGTCTATGCCCTAAGCTTTTAAGATAATTGAGCTGCCTTCAGCCACGCCTTTTACTGAAGCTATGCAAACCCTCAGACTTCCAAGAAGGTTTGTGACTATTTCCTATAACAATCTTTATAATTTTTCTTCTAAAATATTGCCCACCACCTTGGCTGAAGTCCCACTGTTGAGAAGACAGGGAAGGGCATCAGACAAGCAAGAAAAAACTAGAACAAGTTTGACCATAAGAAACTAAAATATTGGTCATGTCTCTCAACACAGATCAAAAAAAAAAAAAAAAAAAGGAGATTAGGGCCATGCTATGAGGACACTGAATGGCAGCTTATGTAAAGGGAACTTCATCCTACAGATAAGAGAAGTCACTGGAGAGTTTTGATAAGATCACAAACATGACAAACAGCATTTCCAGGAAGATTGCTCTGACCAACATTAGGCAAGATAAGTTGGGTAATGATTTTCAACTTTGGTAACTTAATAGAAATATGTAAAAGATCTATATTTCTTTTCTTTTCATGTTTAATTTTGAAATAATTTCAGACTTTCTAAAATCTTCCAAAAATAGGCAAAGTCCTCATATGCTTTTCATTCAGCTTCCCCAAATATTAACATTATAGATATGCACCTAATAATCAAAATCAATAAATGACTATTTACACTGTAAAATGAATGCCTGTACAGACCTTATCCAAATCCCCTCTATGTTCTGACTAATGTCCTTTTTCTGGAACAGGAGCCAATCTAGTACCACATATTGCTCTTCATGGTACTGTTCTCTCCGTCTCCTTTAATCTGGGGAAGTTAGGATATACCTTTAAGTGCTTCACAATTTTGAAGAGTATTGGCTACTTATTTTGTAGCATGACCCTCAGTTTGGACTTTTCTAATATTTTCTCACAATTAATCTCAGGTTATACAGTTTGTACAAGAATACCACAGGGATGATGCTGCACCTTCTCCATCCATTATATTAGAATGCCCTAAGATGTCGTTATCTCTGATTACTGGGGATGTTAACTTTGATCACTGGGTTAAAGTTCCTCCACCACAAAATGACCCTTATCCTTGAAAGCATTTTTAAACAACCAGTTCCGGGGCTACACCACACATCAGCCAAATCAGATACGCTTGAGGGATGGTACAGGCATTGGTAGGCTTTAAATGCCCTACAAGTGACTGTAATCATTATCTGGAATTGCAAACATATGGCTTAGACAGTGAAGATTAGAATCCTGTAAATCAGCTAGGAGACCATTCGTAAGACTTCTCATTAAAGAAAAAAAAATCTAATTCTACACAAAAGCAAATACATCTGGATTTTGGCATGGACATATGGTAGAGAAATTGAGGAGAAATAGAAATCACCTGATGGGGAAAGAGATGAGTGAGTAGACTTCAGTCCAATTTGGAAAAAAAAAAAAAAAAATGCAGAATCAGGTGTCGTGACACTTTCTTGTAATTCCAGGACTTTGGGAGTGAAAGTGGGCCGATCACTTGAGCCCAGAAGTTTGAGAAAAGGCTGGGATTTCTCCAGCCTGCGTGAAACACCATCTGTACAGAAACAAACACAAATAATTAGCTAGGCATGGGGGCACGTGCCTGTGATTCCAGCTACTCAGGAGGCTGAAGCAGGAGAATCGCTTGAGCTCACAAGGTTGGGGCTGCAGTCAATTATGATCTCATCACTGCACTTCAGCCTGTGTATGAGAGTAAGACATTCTCTCCATGAATTTAAAAAAAGAAACATTAAAAATAATGTTCTAAGGTCAGATCTAGTACAAAAACTGCATCTTATTCTGTGATGTTTAGATGCTATAATTAAAGTAGAACATGGAGGTGTTTCCATATGAATAGCTGAAAGATGCTCTACTTTTAATGCAGCTGCATCATATTCTACTGTGTAGATACAAGGTAATCTGTTTAGCAAGCATCGTGCTGGTGAAAGTCTAGCTTTTCCCAATATTTTGCTGTTAAACAAATAATACAGTGAATAGCCCTGATTAGGTGTCATTTTTCATGACGGGTAGTGTGATACATTTTTCCCAGTAAAGTTTGGGAGGATAAATATGTAATTTTTAAACTTTGACATGCATTAAAAAATTTTACTCTTCAAGGTTTGTACATATTTTTATGCTCCAAGAAAAGTAGGGGAGGGTAATATCACCTCAGTTGCTCTCACACAAATGTCCTGAGTTACAGGACCTTTAGGGACACAGGCACACGGTCATATCTCTGGTGCCACACAGGGCAGTGGCATCTGGATCCTAGGAAGCTCCAGGAAATGTTAGGATGCTCTCTAGAGGACACCCTGCTAAGGATCAGAAAGGGGTCAAGGACGTCCAGAGATTACAGCAGGTCTTAAACTAAGGGAAAGTTCAAGCGGAGGTCACTAATGTTCAAGGAGCAAGCTGAGGTGAGAAAGTGGTAGAGACTGATGGAAGGAGAAGGTAAAAAGCTCCAGGGAAGCTAGGGGAGGCACACCAGGGCTCTCAACTCAACATCAGCATTGAACTTTGTAGTGGTCATGCTGGTGGGGCTCTGTGAACTCTAGAATGTTCAGAACTATCTGGGGACTCTACCCATTCAAGGCCAGCAGGACTCCTTCCCCCAGCTCTGACAACCAGCAATGTCTCCAGACTTTGCCAAATGCTTTTCTGAACAAGTATACATACGTAACAAACCTGCACTTTATGCACATGTACCCTAGAACTTAAAGTATAATAATAATAATAAATAAATAAATAAATAAAAAGAAAAAAAAAAGAAAAAATTGTCCCTGGTGGAAGCATTTATCTACACTAATCTATAAAAACAAATCACCACTAAAATCCATCACCTCTTGACTTTTACTTAATCAGCAATTTGATGTCCCAGAAGGCATGTTTAGAGGTGATGCCACATGGCTGCCTGTACCTCAGAGTAGAAAGGGTGTGGGTTTTCCAAGGGTCTGTAACCGTGAACTGGAAATGTCTGTAACTGTGAAAGGGAATGACATCCACTGGGTTACATTAAAAAATTGATGTAGGGAATTCTGTAGATATTGGGAGAAAAAAATACACAACGTATACCCAAACCCCATTCTGATTCTCTCACCATCTTAGGGCCATCTTGTCTATCTATGAATGGTAGCATAGGGATTTTTGTATGTTTTCAAAATTGTATACTGTTGGATCATTTTTTAAATAGGAATAAATCCCAAACTGGACCAAGTAACTGGACACTGCTGGAGTCTCACTTTTGACCAGGAGAGCTGACAACATCCTGCTCCCACTGGCCTGGACACTGTCTAGCTCAGGGGCATAAATGCTCTCCTATTATGGAGAAAGAAGATATTTTGAACATTCTCATCATTCACCCATTTGCCTCTCACACCCGTTGATCTCTCAAACCTCTTCCGCACTCCTGGATTTCATTCTCAATTTACTGAGCACCATTTCTGTCCCTCATCCATTCCAACATGTGCTGGGTCCAGGTGGTGGATTCTGTCCACGATTTTGACATGGAGTTAGGCCTAATATGCAGCCATCTGGGTCCACCCGGCCCCTGCTGCAGGACAGTAGCAGCTCAGAGCCCAAATCTCTTGGTAAGAGCTGAGAGAGAAAACGGGATATCCAAAGCCTCTTACCTTTCTCCAGTCCACTTGAATGGATACCAGTGCAGTCCATTTGCCCCTGAGGACAACCACCTGCTGGTCTTTGGCTTCTAAGAGTCAGACCTCACTGGCTTCTCTGGGTCTCAGCTACTTTCACTCTGCTGAGCCCTGCTCTTTCCCATGGGGGTCACTGCACTGCCAGGCATGTCCTCCAGCTCCAGCTGACAGGTCAGCCAAACCAGAGCCAAGAGAATGAACAAAGATTTCAATATCTAGTATGTCCAGCAGAGATCCAAACTGTACAAAAAATAAAGAAGTAGAGATGAACACAGCTCTCCTGACAACATTGTGTTCCAAAGCAATATCTTCTGTGCCCCTCATTAAGGAGCTCACTGCCCCTCACCACATGGGCAAGTGCTTCCAGGGTCTCTCAATTCCTCAACAGGAGGCAACACACATTTTAACCCAGTACCTCAGGAAAGGAAGTGGTGATATTTTACCTACTTGTGATAAAGTTCCTGAAAAGATCCCTAGACTGCAAAATTCCCCTCCGAAAGACGACAGAAAAGCTTTCCAATGGCAAAATATTGGCCTCCTTGCTTTTAAAACAGTACCCCTGGAAGAGCCAAAACAATTTTGCCAAAATAAATTGCAGTACTTGAACTTTCTTATTTGAAATCTTACAAAACATTGCAAGTACTAAAAATAGAAGTTGCTGGAATAAGAATACAAATAGGGACCAAAGGGATAGAATTGAGAGTTCAGAAATAAACCCTCACCCTCATAGTTCATTGCTCTTGCATAAGGGTGTCAAGATAATTTAGTGGAGGAACAGTCATCCTCTCAAATAACGGTGCAGAAACAACTAGATAACCACATGCAAAACAATAAACTTAGAGAACTATACTTCCAACCACATCAAACAATTATCTAAAAATGGATCAGTGAGTTAATTATAAGATCTATAACCATTAAAAACATCTTAGAAACAGACATAGGGGTAAAACTTAATGACCTCAAATATGCAATGGATTCTCAGGTATGACCCAAATGCATGAGAAACAAAAAGGAAAAATAGATAAATTGGGCTGAAGTTTTGTGCATCAAAGGATATTATCAAGAAAATAAAAAGACCAAACACAGAAAGAGATATAAAAGTTGCAAATCGCATAGACAATGGTTTCATGCCCAGAATATATAAAGAACGGCTACAACTCAATAACAACAAGGAAAACCACCAATTTATATAAATGGGTAAAGGATGCAAATAGACATTTCTTTAAAGAAGATATACAAATCATCAAGAGGGACATGAAAAGAAACTCAACATCATTAGTCATTAGGAAAATACAAAGTCAAAGCCACAGGGAGATACCACACTACACCTACAAATATGGCTACCGTTCTTTTCACATGTTAAATAACAAGTGAAAGCCTTACGTAGAATTTGGAATCCTCATACATTGCTGGTGAGATTATAAAAATGTACAGCCACTAGCAGAAACAGTTGTGCTGTTCCTCAAGAAGATAATCACAGAATTCTCATATAAAAGAGCATCCATTCCTAGGTATATACCCAAAGAATTGAATCCAGGGACTCAAATAGGTACTCGCATGGGAATGTTGATTGCAGCATTACTCACGAAAGATAAAATATGAAAACAATCCAAGTGTTCCCCAACTCATGAAAAAAAAAATGTGGTGATACATGCAGCAGAATGTTAACCTGCCATAGAAAGGAAGGAAGCTCTGACATCCGCTGGAACACACATGGACTTTGGAAACATTATGCCAAGGGAAGTATGTCAGAAATTGATAACATGTATATATATATATAATTCCATTTATATGAAACATCAAGAATACACAAATTCATAGAGACAGAGTAGGGATGATCAAGGTCTAGGGTGGAAAATACAGGGAGTTATTATTGTTTCAAAGATACAAAGTTTCAGTTTAAAATGATAAAAATTTTCTCGGAAAAATAGTGGTGATGGTAACTGAACACTCTGTATGTGGTTAATTCCACTCGATTGCACATTTTAAAGTGGTTAGTATAGCACATTATTCACAGAACTGTGAAAAATTGATTTCCATTATTTAATTCACCCAGGCTAAGGTGTTTGTTATGGCAGCTGAAGCCCTTGAATACATCATCTGAACCAGTGTTTTCAATGAAACATATCACTCTTTCAATCAAGTTAGCTGGAAGCTCCTGTGCCCAGAAGAAGCAGAGGTTCCAAAACAAGAGATCCAGCAGGGGTTCAACTAGCACAGGTCCCATAGGGCAGCCTCGATGTCAGGCCCTGGATGGCATGTGAGGCTATAGTGATACAACCACAACGTGAAAGTGTAAGTGATTTTACTACTTACAGACACTGGGGAGCACTCGGCACAACTGGAGACCACAGATACAGAGTTCAGTGAGCCTAGGCAGAGAAGAGAGAAGAGACCGGTAACCCAATGGCTTTAGTAAGTCCAGGTGTTATCTGACAGGTTTCCAGCAGGGAGCTTTAATGGATATGTTTGAAGCAAGCAGCAAACACTGAGAACAGGAGATGATGCTGTGACTGAGAAGTGGTCACTTTAAATGTGAGGGCAAAAGTCAGAATTATCCGTTTAAAGAAAGCAGCTGGAGAGAGGGGAGCCCAGCACACCAAGCAGGAGAGATGCCTCTAAGATTTTATCTCTGGCCACCAACTGGACCCACTTGAACCAGATACAGTATTGAAAACTGCCATGGTGAGCAAGGCCTGCCTCTGATGTGAGGCAAATAAATTGACACCTTAAAAAATGAATGCCAAGGCAGCATGACACTATGAGCACTCATGACATCCAGGGACACCAGAAGAGTGTATTATTGCTCTTTGATCCCAGAACAGAACTCACCCGCACCCACTTTCTCAGGTGTGAGCAACGTCCATGGAGTAAGTGGGGATGAATCTCTCCAGCTCTGAACCCCTGCTGTGTCCCAGGCACGCGACGCCACACTGTGCGCTTTCCCCTCGTGAACTCCCTCCATCCTCATCAACTCTTTCTGTCACTGCTCCCTAAATGCCCACCCCTGCTCCATCTGTCCTGTTCTCTGGGACATCCCAGGCCAAGACTAGCGCTACACAGAACAGGGGCTGCCTGAGGGCTCACAGCCTCCCCGGGAATCAGTCAGGCACCCTGTGACCTGCCTGCCCACTGTACCCCGTGGGACTCAGAGCCCATGTGATGGTCAGACACAGGCACCATCCAGGATGTGGCAGCCTACACCCGGCTGTTCCTTGGGAAGACAGACCTCTCCTGTGTCCTTGCCGGGAGAAGGGGGTATTATTACTTGTTGATCCCAGAACACAACACACCTCCTAACCGCCCTCTCAGGTGTGAGCAATGTCCCTCCAGACAGGCTCTCTGGCGACTGCCTGCTCCTCCTCTACAGAGAGCAGCTTGGCCAGGTCAAAAACCTCAGGACAGACCCCTGGGTATGTCAGCACATGGAGGGCTGAGCCCATCATGACCACGGAGTAAGTCGGAATGAATCTCTCCAGCTCTGAACCCCTGCTCTGTCCCAGGCTCTCCTTCCGTTGTCTCAATGAGCCATGTTCCACGGGGTTCCTGATAACTCCCCACTTCCTCCTGGACCACCACAAGGAAGGTGTGGTACTCACAGGACAGTCAGATAGGCAGAGAAGAGAGGACACCAAAGATGGTCAAGAAGAAATGAGAAACCCTGAACCCTAGCTCAGCCACCAGACCCCAGGGAGCAATAGAGTGACTGAGAACTGTCCTTTTGACCATGGGACTCACAGCCCCTACCGAGCAACCAGCAGAGGCCTCTCCTCACAAGAGGCATGAGAGATTCACCCTGCACACCTCCAGGAAGGACAGTTTCCTCTGGGACACCCAGGTCCTGAATGTCCATCCTTGGAAGCTGCAGCGAAGCTAGACACAATTAGAGAAAGAAGGGTCCCTGTCACCAGGCAACACACAGCTCACCCACAGCACAATAGGGTGTCCCTGTGACAGGGATCTGGGGCAGCTCCAGCCTCCTGTACTGAAGGGGAGAGCCAGATGAGGATGAAAGAGGGCAAAGGGCAAGAAAGTGCACCCTGACCCAGAACCATGGGGACAGTAGGAGGCTGAGGCCCAGACCTGTGCTTGCCTAACCTACAGGGTATGTGTGTTACTGTGTGTGTCCATGTGCACTCTTTTGTGTGTGTGTTTGTGTTTCTTTTTTTTTTTAATTTATTTATTATTATTAAACTTCAAGTTGTAGGGTACATGTGCACAACGTGCAGGTTTGCTACATATGTATACTTATGTTTGTGTTTCTGCACATAGTGTGTGCCAAGGTTTGGTGACAGAATCACTGCTGAAAAAGGTGGAGGCCTCCACAATTCCCAGGAACCTGACACACAGACAAAAGGTAAAAGAGAAGGAGGGACAAGGAGGCAGGAGTGAGAAGGGAGGGGACAGAGAGGTGCCCTGGGCACAGACCCCGCCCATGAGCCAGAGAAGTGCTCCTGCCCTGGGAAGAGGCTCAGCACAGAAGGAGGAAGGACAGCACAGCTGACAGTCGTGCTTAGAAAGTTTCTGGATCCCCGGCTCATCTCCACAGAGGAGAATACGCAAGCAGCAAAGGCCATGGGGCCCCTCTCAGTCCGTCCCTGCACACTGCACATCACCTGGAAGGAGCTCCTGCTCACAGGTAAGGAGAGAACTTCCTGGGAGAGAACAGGAGGAGGAAGCAGAATGATTGGATGGGGTCTCTTGGAAGGATGGGGTTCTAAAAAATAAAAAGATTCAGCACTTTGGGAGGCTGAGGTGGGTGGATCATGAGGTCAGGAGTTCAAGAGCAGTCTGCTCAATACAGTGAAGTCCGGTCTCTACTAAAAATACAAAAAAATCAACCAGGTGTGGTGGTGTGCTCCTGTAATCCTAGCTACTTGGGAGGCTGAGGCAGGAGATTTGCATGAACCCGGGAGGCAGAGGTTACAGTGAGTGTAGATTGCGCCATTGCATGCCAGCCTGGGTGACCATATGAGACTCCGTCTCACAAAAAAAAAGAAAAGAAAAGAAAAAATACAGGAAAGAAGGCTCTGTTGGAGCCTGCATAGCGGAAAATATACCAGAGAGGAACAGAGGTCAAACAGGAAAATCACATTGAACTGGAAATGGTAAGAGGTGGGAAAATGTCAAGTGTTCTGTTTTCCTGGTTAATTATCACTGGCCACCACTTTTTGAAAAATGATAATAATAACTATTATCAGATGAAACTTCAAATGAAAATATAAGCAGGGCATGAAACACTGTCCTCAGTCAAAAACCTCAACAATTGGGGAAAGAGAAAAAAAAAAAAAAACACCAGGCATGGAGGACCCTGGGAACTCTCACATGTACAGGAGTCTGCCTCCTGTCCGAGGCACTGGGGTGCAACCCAGATCAAAAGTCCTTGTCCTCAGGAAACTCATGCTCTCATGGGAAGCAAGATAGACAGACAAAGAGATCTAGAATGTGAGGTCAGATGTTGACAAGAGCTCTGGAGGGAGCAGAGCAGAAAAAGATCAGAAAGGGAAGACCCAGTGTCTCTGAAGGAAGTGTTAGGAAAGAAGTCTAAGGATGCCCTCATGTGAGTAGGACCTGAGGGCAGTGTGGAGGGAGCCGTGCAGACCCCCAGGGAAGAGGATTCCAAACAGAAAAATGCCAAGGTCGGAAGTGTTGAAGGAATGAGGGTCGTATGCTGACTTTGACCCAGTAGGACAGTTTGAAACACACACACACACACACACACACCCCTTTTCTGTGTGTGTGTGTGTGTGTGTGTGTGTGTGTGTGTTTTCAAGGCTGTTGATTGAAGAGATCTTCTCAGGTCCCAGGGCCCCATCTTATCACCCCAATACATAGGTCTCAATATTGACTGACACTCTCTCCACCTCCTAGCATTACTTTTCATCTTCTGGAACCCACCTACCACGGCCCAAGTCACGATTGAAGCTCAGCCAATTGAAATTTCTGAGGGGAAGGATGTTCTTCTACTTGTCCACAATTTGCCCCAGAATCCTACTGGCTACATCTGGTACAAAGGGCATATAATGGAGAGCCACAATTACTTTACATCATATGTAATAGACACTGAAATGATTATATTTGGGTCTGCATACAGTGGACGAGAAACAGTATATTCCAATGCATCCCTGCTGATCCAGAATGTCACCCAGAAGGACACAGGATCCTACACCATACAAATCATAAAGCGAGGTGATAGCACTAAAGGAGTAACTGGACATTTCACCTTATACCGTGATTGATTCCACATGATCCCTGGGTGTTGGGGGTTGGAGGTCACTTCTATTTTGCACACACAGGATGGTCAGGCCTAGACTGTTCCTGTGTCCCTCTCTGCATTATGTCCCATGTTGGGGTTTTGGCATTTAGTGCAGGACACACACAGAGGAGACAAACTTCAACAGATCAGAATTCCTTTCCTGCCTCCAGACCCTGCAGACACTTGCTGCACAGGAAGGACAGTCTGATGGGGTGGGGGGTGCTCAGCAGGAGATCAGTCTCAGCCAAGCACCTCATGTCCTCTTCATAAACTTGACCCTGAGAAAGACCCTGGAGAACTGAGTAGGGCTTTGCCTAAGAGGCCCCATGAGATACTCTCACAGAAACTTAGCTCTAGAGGCCTCAACCCCAGACCCCTGTCCCTAAATCCTTACTCCAGATAAAGCTGAGGAGCCTGTGCCAGGGCTGGGTTGTGGCAGAGCTTACTGGGACCAAGGATTCACCAGGTGTCTAAGGACTGTGTCTCCTGGAGCTGCTCACTGCCAGGGCTCAGCCCTCAGAGCCTCATCTGGGCAAGGACAGAGCTTTCTTCACCTGACACTCAGAGTGGAGAGGACAGAAAGACGAGCTTTGTAGGCCATCAGCCAATGGCTTTGTGAGGCTTAGGACACTCCATAGAAAGTCTAATGTCCCCAGAAGCAGAAACAGAAGAGAGAAAATGTACCTGGCAGCAGCTTGTCCACAGGGATCTGACCTAAAGGTGCCCTCTCATGAAAGTGAACAATAATAAATGCTGTTTGTGTGAACACCTCCACTGTGCCAAGCATTAGGTCAGGTGACTGTGAAAAATCTACAATTTATTCACAGATAGCATGAGAAGCACAGTCCATTTCCCATTTAGCTTATTTGAGTGAGAAAAAACCGAGGCACAAGAAGTCAGTCACTGAACCAGAGTCACACAAACACAAAAGGCAGATCAGGGTCACATGAGGTCTATCTGCAGCCACAGGCCCATCCTCTTCTCCACTAGAAGTGAGGAATTATTGGGTTCCAAGGACTCATAGTAATTTATTGGCTCATATCCTCTCTTCTTAGGCATCCAAACCTCAGAGGAGTGAGAGCAAATGGTTAGCTGATTAGTCTGCGCTTCAGAGCTAAATCACCTGGCTCAACCGTCAGAGTCAGTGCAAAAAATGTCCAGGCCTCCCCCGCATATCTTAACCCCTATCCCTGAACCTGAAATCCTGTGTTTCCCAAAGTGTCCATGTCACTGGCATGACAAGATAAAGGAGAGGACCTTGTTTTCGTTCCCCACTCACACACTGCACCAGCACAGGCCCAGTGAGAGACACACACTCAGGTGCTCTCACATAACAAATGAAGGAATTGAATGAAGAAATGAATGATCCATAACCTCTTTAGAGACTGGATCTTGGATGCAGAATCCTACGGAGTTCTAGCCACACCTGTCCCTTGTCCTTCAGAGGCTGACAAGCATGTTTCATCCCCCCACTACCTCTTGCCCCTTATGCCACCCCACCTAATATAACTCTGAAGCTCCTTGGCCACTGGAGGGTTTTCAGGGCTCCCTTGTCCTGGACTGTTGAGCTGGGACACCTGGTCCCTGGGGTCTCTGAAGTCACTGGAGGCCCCATTGTTCACTGCAATGCTACCTCTGCCGTCTCTCTGCTTCTCTGTGTCCCTCATCTTCCTCCCACTTCATTCTAACTGGCAAGCCCTGTCCTGCACAGCTTCTTCCTCCACTCCTTGGCTTTCCTCAGACACTCCTTCTAACTAGGCTGACTGCTCTGTTCCCTTCCTGCTAACTCTGTGGCCATGCCCACCTCCCAGGAAATAGGAAAGGCACAGAAATCACCTGGAGTTTCCACTCCTGCCAGGCTTCATCTCAAGCCAATGTCCCCAGGTCACTAAGAGAATGAGCTTCCACTGTATCCACATCCAGGGCTCTTTCCTTTGTGAGGCTGTTCTGTGGCCAAGACCGTGGGACAGGGATAGGCAGCTCCTCCATCCACTCTTATATTTCCCAGACAAGTTCTTCTGACCTCCTGCATAAAGAAAACCAATGTATCCCGATGGTGATTTGCAGTAAAGAAAGATTTTAATGACTCCAAGTCTGCTAAACAGGAGGATGGAGGTTTATTATTACTCAAATCAGCCTTCCTAGTGGATCAGGGGTTAGAGATTTTCAAGGATAGTTTCAGGGGCACAGGACTAAAAAAAAGGGTACTGCTGACTGTTTCAGGATGAAATCATGCAGGCGGAGGGAAATGATCTGTTTCTGCTTGAATCTGCCTCTAGGTGGGGACCACATGACTGGTTGAGCCATTAGTCATGGGTATGGATGAGGTCAGCTCTTTGCCAGAATGCAAAGAATGAGAAACATCTCAAAAGACCAACCTCAGGTTATACAATAGTGATGTTATCTATAGGAGTAATTAGTTACAAATTTTGAAAACTCTGGCCAAATGACATTTGAGCAGTGTTTATAGAAACTATGCCTCCATTTTAACAGAATTCACTTCCCTCCTATAATCTTACTCTCATGGTCTTTCACCAGTTTTACAAAGGCAATCTCTGGGCAAAAAAGGGTATTAGTGTTATGGAGGAACTATTATTATTCTTGCTTCAAAGTTAAGATATAAACTAAATTCCTCCCATGGTTAGCCTGGCCTATGTCCAGGAATGAGTGAGGACAGCCAGCCTGAGACTAGATGCCAAATGTATTCAGCCATGCTAGTTTGCTGTCACTGTTGTAAACTTTGCACTGACTCACCAGGGTGTCAGTTGTTGGACAGGCCTGCAGTGCCCAAAGCCCATGGGCTCATTTCACCCATTTCACTCATGACTCCATCCTCAATCTACCATGGAGTTCACATTCTCCAGTCACTTCCTAGAGATTTCTGGTTTCTTTTCAGGCATATAACAAGCTTAAAATTTGTCACTCGGTTCTAACAGTAAGTAAAAAGCTGACCAAACTCAAAAGTCAACAGCTCGTTAAAATCCCTAAGAGATTAGCCTGGCACAGTGGCTCATGACAGTAATCCCAGCACTTTGGGAGGCTGAGGTGGGCAGATCATGAGACCAGGAGATAGAGACCATCCTGGCTAACACAATGAAATCCAGTCTCTACTAAAAATACAAAAAATTAGCCAGGCGTGGTGGCGGGCGACTATAGTACCAGCTGCTCAGGAGGCTGAGGCAGGAGAATGGGGTGAACCCGGGAGGCGGAGCTTACAGTAAGCCAAGATCGTCCCAGTGCACTCCAGCCTCAGCAACAGAGCGAGATTCCGTCTCAGAAAAAAAAAAAAAAGGGGGCTGTTAGAGAAATGAAGAATGCTTTTGATGTTTCCTGGTAGAATGCACACAGCTCAGGAAGGAATCCCTAGCTTGAGGATGTGACAATAGAAACTTCCAAAACTGAAACAGGAAAGTTCAAAAAGAATGGGGGGGAAAAAAGTGGAACAACATATTCAACTTCATATTTAATATTATGTATTGACAATAGCAATTTTTCAATTTTGTAGTTGTGGGACAACTACCAAGGCTGTAACATACACATAATGGGAATACTGGTGGTTTCGGGGACCTGTTGGAGGTGGTCAGGTGGCTGCTACCTGATGGTTTTATGGCCTGTGCTACAAACAATTGTTTCATCCTTATGATGCCATTTTCATAAGTTGGGGTTCTTCATGTGGGGGACACACGAGCTATTGGCTTCTCACTTAGACTCTTCCTAATTCACACAAACTTAAACTCTAGTTGTATTTCCTGAGGTTAACAGAAAATGAAAAAAGCATTTCACATACCTGTTTTGAGCTCCTTCAAATTTTTCCTAACTCTGCACAGAAATTAGAAACAGGGAGTTCTTTCTATATTTACCAACATAACACACATCACTTCTTTCAATTTGGCATCATTCCTCTCTTTACGTAATTGACACACTGACCAGTTCTGTCCTTTTAACGGGACTCTCTCTACTTAAGGACTTGCTAATTTCAAATCACCTTTGGCATCTTTCTTTCAGCATAATGTGATTCTGCTGAATTCACCCCACACCTAAACCTTAATTGGGTACCAAGAGAAATACTACTACCAGCAATTGATCTTAGATGTTTGTACCATTCATAAAAATTTCCACTTATGACAACCTTTAATGTTTCCTCCAAATTTTGCTGTTGTTGTTGTTACTGGAGTCAGAACATAGCATGAGGTCTAAATTCCTGAGAACTTTTTATGGGAAAATTACAGTATTACAAATTGAGCATCCCAAATCCAGAAATCCAAAATCTGAAATGCTCCAAAATCTGACACTTCTGACCACTGATGTGATGCTAAAAAGAAGTGTTCACTGGAGCATTTTGGATTTTAAATTTTTCAGATGTGGGATGCTAAACCAGTACATCTACTGCAAATATTCCAAAATTAAAAAGAAGTTAGAAATCCAAAACACTTGGTTTTAAGCTTTCTACATAAGGAACACTTTATCTGTATGAACTATAGGCATGAAGCTGCACAGGAGATATCTAGAACCTCCTCATCCTGCATAACTGAAATCGCACAGCCACGGAACAATGACCTATTGCCCTGACCCCAGCTCCTGGAAACTACTATTCTACTCTCTGACTCACTCTGGAATCCACTGAGATGAGGGACATAGAGTAGTAAAACTCGCAGAATCAGAGAGTAGAACGTCTAATGAGAGAAAGTATCTGCAAGACTTCTTCCCAAATATTGGTCTAATAGTCATCAAAGACATACGGACCCATGAAGGTCAGACTTCCATCATCAGTTCATGCTCGCTCTTTCAACCAGTCAGTTCTGCATTTGCAAATATCCACATGTATTTCTAGAAAGATCCACATGGTCCTTACCTGCCCCCTACAGGGGGAAGGGAGCATCATGGACCCAGAACATGGAACATGGTCTTAGTATAAAGCTATCAGCTCTTGCCTGTCCCCTTCACTGTTTGTAGGTCATTCCTTGGACTCTGCTCTATCTTTAGAGGTCACTGGCTCAAGTCAGTCACTATGAGACAGCTGGGAAAACCGCCCCATCTTGTAGCTCCACTCCCTGATGACTGAACTGACCTCCAGGCTTGACTCTGGTCTCCCCTGTGTTATTTCTGCTGAAGTACCCAGACCCAGGCCAGTCTTCCCAACCCAAAGGGCTTAAGGACATTGGAAGTTCCATCATCCATCTCTAGGATGTCCTTGGAAGGGGAAGCTGCAGAGAAAGCATACCTTGGGGTGCAAAGTAAGACTGAAACTAAGAAGATCCCAGCACTGCATGCTCCAGGTGAGGACCACAGGGTGGGTCAGGCAGGCAGTTGGAGAGGGAGGGACTCAGAGAGGCACCAGCGGCTGTGACTGCTGGTCCTATGTTTTTTCATGACCCAATGCTGCTGCTCAATTCACACTTGGGAAAGTCTGTGCTTCTACCACATAAAGCAGGCAGCCTCACAATCTCTGAGCCCTCAGATTGCCATGCATCTGTCTTGTAACACACACAACTGCCATGGGCTTTTAGGGACTTGGACGTGGGCTGAGTGGTGGGAAATGCCAACTCTGATTGAAAAATGTTTTAGGAGGAATCAAAGGTGCCACACAGGGCAATCTTCTCTCTGTTATCTGCACAGTGGAGACTCCCAAGCCCTCCATCAACAGCAGCAACTTAAACCCCAGGGAGGCCACGGAGACTGTGATCTCATCCGGTGACCCTGACACTCAGAACGCAAGCTACCTGTGGTGGATAAACGGTCAGAGCCTCCCTATCAGTCTCAGGTTGCAGCTGTCTGAAAACAACAGGAACCTCGTTCTATTTGGTGTCACAAAGTATACTACAGGACCCTATGAATGTGAAATGAAGAGCCCAGTGATTTCCAGCCGCAGTGACCCTGTCACCCTGAATCTCATCTGTGAGTATCTTCTGTTCCTCTGTGAGCCAGGCTGCCATCCCAAATACACATGGCATGAGGCCAGGCCTCCCAGTCCCTCAGGTGCAAGTACAGAGACCTTTACCCCTGGACATCAAAGTTGTCCATGACTACTAAGGGTAGGCTTAGGCTTGATCAACAATGGGAGAGAAGAGGCTGCTCCTGTCACGGTAGACTCAGGGTCCACAGCTTATGATGGGGGAAACAGGTCAATGTCTCAGGGTCCAGATCAGTGCATACAGCAGGGATTTGACTGGGACTTCAGTGTTGTGACTTAGCTCACAGGGTCACTCTGGTCCTTCCACAGACCCGGATTTTACCTTCCCTCTGACAACATCACCTGTGACTTTATTTTCTTTGCTCCAGATGGTCTGGATACCCCCACCATGTCTTCTTCATACACCTATTACCATTCAGGGAAAGTCCCCAAGCTATCCTGCCTCACAGACTCTCACCCACTGGCAGAGCTTTCTTGCCTGATTGATGGGAAGGTCCAGCAATCAGCACAAGTGTTCTTTATCCCCCAAATCACTAAAACATGTGGAGGGGTCTATGTCTGTTTCATGCATAACTCAGCCACTAGTGGAACGAATGTCATAATCAAGAGGATCATAGTCCCTGGTAAGTGGATCCCTGGAGCATTGCCAAAATGTTTTCCAGTGAAGTCTCTCTGGCTATTAGGGAAGAACCAACAGCCCTTTGCAAAGGGAGAGGGAAAATCAAAAACCCAGGACAGGGAATATGTTTCTACTCCAAAACCACCAGCTTTTGCCTGTACCCTTCACTCCTTGTACATCATTCTTTAGACTATACAGTAACAATGAACAATCTGAAAGGAAATTAAGAAAAGAATTTCCATTCACATTAACATCAAAAGGAATAAAATATTTTGGAATAAGTTTAACCTAAAAGGTCTACGGGTTATCCCCCCAAAACTACAAAACATTACTGTAAGAAATTAAAGACGATATCAATATATGGAAAGACAATTCATTCTCACTGATTGGAAGAATCAATATTGTTAGGAAGACAATATTACCCAAAGTGAGCTGCAGACTGAACGCAATCCCTACTGGAATCCCAGTAACATTTTTTGCAAAATTACAAAAATCTGTCCTAAATTTGATCTGACAGGCTCTTATTGATGACTGCCACAAAAGACACTGAGGAAAAGATGCAACCATGAAAAAGTGGAAAATTTTGATAACATAGAAAATAGCAATCATTATTTCTCACATCCCAAAGCCTTCAAAAATATACAAGTGCAGCATGGCCAGTATGCAATTGACCAAAAACTAATCACCAAGCTAGAAACATGGTGAGAAAAAAAAAAAAAAAAAAGAGCAAGAATGTATTTGGCCTATCACCTCCCACTTTTGCATACTAATCTGATGCTGAAAAGAAATGCTCACTGGAGCATTTTAGATTTTGAATCTTTCAGATTTGGGATGCTAAATCAGTAAGTATGTGACAAATATTTCAGAATCAAAAAATGTCAGAAATCCAAAACACTTATTGCCCTAAGTCTTATGCATAAGAAATACTCAATCTGTGTGAACTGTAGGCATCAAGCTGTACAGCAGATCTCTAGAACCTCCCCGTCTTGCATAACTGAAACTGCACACACATGAACAACTTCTGATTCTCCCCACTCCCAGCTCCTGGCAACCAGCAGTCTCTTCTCAGATTCACTCTGGAATCCACTTCCATGAGGTCCCTAGAGTAGTCAAACCCATGGAATCGGAGCGTAGAGTGTACAATGAAAGAAAATATTTGCAAAACTTCCCCCCAAATTTGACTCATATCTATTAAACACACATGGTCCATGAGGACCAGATATCTAGGAGTTAACTCCCACCCTTTCCCTCCAGTCAGTTCTGCATTTGCAAATGTCCACATGTATTTCTGGAAGGATCCACATAGTCCTCACCTGTCCTCTGCAGAAGGAGAGGAAACATAAAGGACCCAGAACATGGAATATGGTTCTGCTCCAAAGCCACCAGCTCTTACCTATCCCATTCACTCTTTCTACATCATTCCTTGCACTCTGCTCTATCTTTCGAGGTCACTGGCTCAAGTAAGTCATCATGAAACACCTGCAGAAAACTGCCCCACCTTGTGCCTCCACTGCCTGATGACTGAACTGACCTCCAG